AATTTCCTGGGTTTCTGAATCATTCAGACCAGATGTTGGTCTGATCCATTCTCCTCGGATAAAGCCTTGCAAATCGGCGGATTATTTCATCTCTTGATTTCAACTGCCTCAAACTTTATCGCGCTTATTCCATCTCGTTTAATTCGTCAAATGTTGGCAAATTATTCTGGAGTTGAAGTCTAAAGGACTGAATCAATGTTTTGAAATAGATGTTGACGGGGACTAGCACAGTTCCACTGACAAAGAAGAATTCAACTTCTTCTACTTTATCGTCTTTGTTTAATTCTCAATCCAAGTTCTTTACAGTTCAAGCTTCAGTTACAACTCCCTATTGTCTAAACTGTCCCTGGACATTGAAGCGAGCAACAAGATACATAATTATGAGTGTAGCTCCAATCAGTAATAAGTGTGGTTTTGCAGTAAACAGACTCTAAACAAGCACAGTACGAAGAAACACACGAGCAAAAATATGGCGGGAAAAGTATCCGCCCATGGGATAGAAAAACAATAAGCAAAGAGATAGTCGCAAACAAACGTCCAAGGATAACATAAACTTTACAAAACGTTCACTACTTCATGATAAACAACAGGAAATAAAGTTCTTTTACGGTGTGGAATTTAAGAAACAAAAAGATAAATATATTACGCAACTGGGCTGCGCCAGAATTAGAAATGAAGGTTCCTTAATCCTTTCCTAAGGAAGTAGGTAGTTTTGTCACCTAACTTTAGTTGAGTTTGCCTAATGGTCGTGGGTCGTGGGTCGTGGGTACAAGTCGTGGGTCGTGGGTGTGGGTGTGGGTAAAAGTCGTGGGTATGGGTAATGATTAAATAGTAATTTTTAATCATAGTTAATAATTAACAATGTTACTAATTTTTGTTAAACATTAATAATTTAGAATATTATAAGTTTTGGATGTTTTTAACCACTCGATAACAAAACGAACATAACACGATGTATGAAAATTATACAACACTTCCCCTACTCTGTTACTCTACCAGAGATCGTCGACCGCCAGCGCAGGGGGTGGCGGTGGGTACAGGAGCAATCGAAAAGAAAAAGAAATAACGTTGAACTAATTTTTGTCTTCAAATATAACGTTGACATAGGAAAGCTGTCAAACTTTGTCTCCACCATAAACTGGCCAAAAACGCTTTCAAAGGGTCTTGTGAAAGCTAAACTTATTTCACTAACAACGGAAGAACGTCACTAAAAAACGCGAACAACAATGAGAATGGAGTGTCTTAGTACCGGGGAAGTTTACTCATATTATAAGTTATACGAAGAGGCTAGCTCCCAAAACTCGTTGCTTTTCATTTGTGTCTACTAATTGGGATCAATTCAAAGATAAGTATCGTATTGCTTATTCAGATAAATAATGATTGACTACTCTTATATGGAACTGATCCCGGCTTCCTTAATTTTCCGATTCGCTCTTTTTAGCATTAAGTTAACTTGAGTGCGTGTTGTTCAAGCGTTTGACCAAAACAAATTTCCTCAAAATATTATCAAGATATTACACCAGTCCTGAAAATAGCTCCTATGGGCTCCTGCCTTTACCCAACGGTCCGTGGGTCGTTCGTCCAT